CGTCTTGTCGTCTTCAGAATGTCGTAGTGCTTGCGGCGCGGGGTCCACGTCATACATCCGTATAGTAGGGCCTCCATCGCTTCCGCTTTCAGGAGCCGGACCTTTAGCCCCCACGGTGCTGTCGGTCTGTCGAAGACAAGAAGAGCTCCCGGGCGTACTTCCGGAGGCAAGCCCACGCTGCTCTGTGATCAGTTGGTTGATCTTTGATCTCGTGCGTGAGCTCAGCATCTTCCCTGGTCCGGCTACCTATGCACTGGAACTCCGCTGTCTGGGCGTACTTCTGTCCCGCTGCTTCGATCACCAGCGGTACCGTAGGTGGTGGCGGTGGCGGTGGCGCTCCCTTCTTCGGTTTCTTCTCCGGCGGCACCTTCATCAGGAGAGTCTCTGTTTTTTTCTCCAAACCGCCAGGCCTTCGGCCGATTTCGATACGAACCCAGCGTCGTCGGCGTACAGCATACCCCCCACGCCGCCTTCCGGACTCGTTCCAAAGGTGTCATTACCCTCGTCCCGGCCTCCTCCTCGAGGTTACCAGGTCCTTAAGGATACTGTCGTCTTCGCTGAATCGTACCAGAACTACAGTACGTCGAGCACTGCCGCCCCGAAGATGTACAGTGGAGACAGTACACATCCTTGTCGCAGTCCTTGGGTGACCTGGAACCATTCAGAGCGCTCTCTATCGTCCATGCGTACCCGAGCTCGCATGCCGTCGTGGAACTGGCGGATGACCGCGATCATTTCCTCCGGGATCCCCGCTCGGGCCAGCACCCGCGACGGTAGCGCTCCCGGTCGACTGAGTCCTAGGCCTTCTGGAGGTCGACGAAGCACATGTACAGCGGGATACTCCGTCTCCTTGCCAGCTCCTGCAGTCGTCGTACGACGAACAGCATGTCGACCGTTGACCCGTCAGGTCGGAAGCCGCACTGCTCTTCCGGCAAGATGTCGTGTTTCTCGCAGTAGCCACTGAGGCGGTTGGCGACGATTTTGAGGAGCACCTTGCCCGCATACGACAGGATGGATATTCCCCTGTAGTTACAGTTGGATCGGTCCGATTTCTTGTAGAGTACGGTGCAACCGTCAAACTACGCGCGCTGTACGGTATAGTCTAGCCACCCAACTCTTAAAACGTTTTTCGTGGTGGGGCACGGTCGATTACCAACCACCAACAAACCGGAAGCCCGGGGGACAGCCATGCGTCATCCGTACCCTCAACAATCAAATAGAGTGATTACATATGCGGTTTTGCCAGCAACAAAACGGATGGGATGTGTGTCACAGGAAGTAATACTCCCGTGGCGGTTCTTGCGGAGAGGCTCATAGGAGTAGGAGTTTCCGCGGGAGAGGGTAGAGGGTAGAGGTAGAGGGGCGGTGCTGGGCAGGCCAAACAGAGGGTAGAGGTAGAGGTCCGGCAGTCCGGCTGGCTGCCAAGCAGGCGGACCTGTCAGTGGGACTGCAACAGAGAGCAGGCGCTTGCTCGTCATAATCGTCGCCAGGCTCGCAATGCACGCGCTGTAGCTTCTGCTAACCATGTGCCTGCTCCGCCCCCCATGCTTTCTTCCGCTCATGAACGTGCAGCTACAGCAGCTGCTCTAGAACAAGTTCGTCTCGCCGAAGATCGCAACGCGGACCTGCTCCGAGCACTTCAAGCTATGGCGACCTCTGCACCGACGACTTCCTCCGACTCCACGCCCCCTGCGGGATCTCCTCGTCGTCACCTGACGGAGAACACGGAATCGGCGGCGCTCTCTTCACCGGCCTTGCGCGAGGCCACCACGGGTCCTGAGAGCCGTCATCGAGCCGAGCGCCCCGCGGCGCCCGTGCTCATGGCCTCTTCGGCGACTGCGGCTGTCACCCCCGCCGCTGCTGCCGCTGCTGCTGCTACTGCTGCTGCTGCTGCACCTGCGCCTGCCACCGCGGCGCCTCCGCCTGCTGCCGCTCCACCGATTGCATGCCCGCCGCTCCTCGACTATGTCAGCGCCCGCTGGCATACGTTTCCCCGAGAAATGCAAGCGCTACTGGCCTCTTCGGAGGCTGAGGCGGCCACCTGCGCTGCGGTGGACCGTGTCCGGGCCGATCGCTTGGCCCGGGCACAACAGCTGGAGGATGAAGCCGATCCTGAAGAGGAACTCGGAATCAAGAACGCCCTGGGCTCTACGGAAGGGGTGAAGGTCACCACCGACCTTCACGACACCGAGGTGGCCATAGCTGCCCTACAGGCGAAGCATGCTTCGCTGACGACGGCCGCCGCCGCCGTCAAAGAGGAAGGAGCCCGCCACCGGCGCGAGCTGGAAGCCTTCAAGGGGCGTCGTCCGCGGCGCCTTCGGGATCGCGAGGCACCCGGTTCCGGCGCCAGCTCTAGGGCTTCATCGGTGGAGCGAGACACCTTCCCGGCGCTTCCATCACGGGCGCCACGGGCGGCGTCGTCTCCCACGACTCGCCGCGGGGTGTCGTACGCTGCAGCTGCCCGCAGCCCCACCACGCGAGGCAGCGAACGCTCGCCCGCCTTTCGGAAGGGCGATGCTGCCTTTTCGAAGGGAATATTGAGGCACATGGCTCAACATGTGCAATTCAATTTTCAAGAGTCGGACCGGGAGCGCGTGCTCCGTGCGGCGGACGCTGTGGCGATAGCCATGCCGCCGGACAGCACTGTCGAAGACGCCATGCGCGAGGCCAGGATTCGTGGGAACCCGTTGCTCGATCAGGTTGAGTATCTGCTGGGGTGCCTTCGGGCGGCACACGGGAGGGTGACGGGTACGGTGGCGTGGCCGGGCTGCTACAACACTGTTGCACCCCCCCCTGTTCCGTCTTTCGACACCTTCGCCTTGGTGTCATCTTCATCTTCAAAGTCGAGGAAAGCAGGCGGGCTCAAGAGCGGGGGGCGCGGGAGCGGAGGAGGTTGCTCCGGCGACAGTGACAGCAGCCACTCCCGCGGATCCGCCCCCTCCCATCGCGGCCGTGCTCCAGCGTCTTCTTCGGCGTCCAGCTCTTCGGAGCGCGTGGACAAGAAGGTGGTCAAGAAGAAGAGTCGCACCCCTCGCCCGTCTTCGGACGCCGCTGGAGGAGCATCCTCGGACTCCGCCTCGGAGCGTAGTTTTACTCGGAAGGCTTCTTCGGGCCGGTCTTCCAGGCAAGTAGTACCGTCTCTCATGGATGTTGCTTCTGATGATCGTCTTAACGCTCTTCTGCGTGATGGTCATCTTGTGTTTTCGAACACTGTGTTGCGTAGTGACAAGTCTGTCAAGTTGACAGACTTCCGTGGTACTGATGTTGCAGACACAAAACCGTCTATTAAGACCGAACCCAGTGGTGTTGCTGTTGAAGCTGCCCCACCGTCTGTACAAACAGAGCCTCTTGCCAAAACGAGTGTGCCCACCGATGATAGTGTTTTACCGCTTTCTTCCACCACTGCTCACGCTCGCCATGCAACGGTTGCTGCTGCTGCTTCGCCAGTTGATGCCGCACATGTTGCTCGTGTCCAACGTGAGTACATCACCCTCAACCTAAAAAAAGTTGAGCGTGTATCCGCTGTGCCTTTCCCTGCGTCTTCGCTGCCAGCTGATGCATACCAGCAGCTCATTCGCACCGTTCGGTCTGCGCTCACGGATATTTTGATGTTTTGTGATGGTCGTAGCGTCGGTTTGATGGACTCCGATTTTTTCCGAGGTTGGGAGCGCCCTGTTCAAAAGAGAATTTGGAGTGCGATCTCACCTGACAAACCTACTACATCCGACCTTGTCCTCTCCATTTCTGTTTATTTTCAGCAAGTGAAGCGGACGCTGGATGAAGGAGCCACGGGTCCGGAGGCCTTCACGCTCCTTCTGCCGCTGCTATCGGAGCAATTCGATGTCGGAGACCGACAGGAGTCGTTTTGGCGACTTCAGCAATTTGGTGTTTCGAATGAAACCTTGTTTGCGGATTACCTTAGGGCGTTCCGCCTTTTCGTTTCTTCTGTGACCGGATCTGAGCGTGTTTTGGCTCCTAGCGTGTCTATGGTGCTTGAGATAGTCAGGAATTCTGTAAGTAAACAGTTTCCGTCTTTGGCTCCGATGCTGTACCCTGGTGACCTGGCTACGGCCGTGACACCGTTTGACTCGATTGCTGCAATGTGGCAGGCGTTCGCGCCTTTGGCCACCAACAACCCCCCCGCTATTGGAGGTTCAGAGTATTTTTCTTTGTCTTCCACGCCTGGCTCTTCGCAGCCCCGGCGTTCCCAGAACCCCTGCGCCTTCGGGCCGGTGGGCACAAGGTTCTGCACAAAATCCTGTTGTTTTGGCAGTTCAGTCTCAGGGTGGCGGTGATGATCCGTTTTCCCGTGATTATAATGCATGGCCCGCCACAAAGGGCGATTGGTCGAATGTGTACCAAGTCAGTTCCTCTTTCCGTAACACCGGTGATCCTTTTTGTGGACTCCTCTCTTGACTCAGGACGCTCGCTCGCAATCGTTTCGTAATGTTTCAGCAGTTTCGATCGTTTCCGCCGTGATTACTCAGTGTCACGGCGGCGTTCCCGGTGTGACGATACATTTGGACAGTTCCCACCACGATTGCTCAGAGTAACAGCGGCTAACTGCCCACCTTCATATGGCAATGCTCTCTATGCAACGATCACCGTTTGCAGTATATTTCGTAGACACATCAATCGCCCGTCTCACAAGTAGGACGTTCAGTGCACAGACCAGGATACAATCCCTTCCATACCTTCCTCGTGCGCTCCTTGTCAACCTTTAGTGCCCCAGCTCTGTATGCACAGGTGTTGAAACAGCCACTTACGATGGCATTGGCACAAAAGTAGTGTTGTACATATCCCCACGTTTCAAGGGTGTGCGTAGGGCATAATTTGGCATACCCGATGTACTCAAAGGAATCAACCCAAGTTCGTCCTGCCCGGGTCATGTTGTCTTTTCACGGTTTTCTAGTCTGTACCAGTGGTTGTTGGGGAGAGGGTACAATACTCCGAAGGTTTTGACCACTGACGTGATATTGTCCATCACGTTGTCGTTGAACATGGTGTTTACTGCAGGCGAGCTCTAAGGGTGAGGATGAGTTGGTCGGCAAGATGAACGAGATGGCCGTGACTGCTGTGAAGGGGGCCCTCGATGAGATGGACGGAAGGTTTGGCAAAATTCAAAGGGGGATTGATGAGGTACACAGTGCGGTGAACAGAGGGCGTGGCGAGATGGTGGGTGGGCTGGATGAGGTGAAGGAAACGGTGACGGGAGGGCTCGATGAGGCACAGGATGAGTTCAAGAGAGGGTTGGACGGGATTACGGGCCAGTTAAGCGACGTGGAAGTCGAGATGAAGGACGGGTTTGACGCGATAAAGGGAAGGCTGGACACGGTTGCAGAGAGCACCCAGGAAAGCCTCGCGCGCCTCAAGAACCTACAGGCCCCGAACTACTCATACCCTCGCCTTGTGGTAGTCAAAGAGATCGAATCCGGTCGCACTTCGTCGAGGGCTCCTGGGAAGAAGAGTATTCTGAGCAAGTTTCGTGGCGTGGTGAAGAAGGAGATGATGCTGCATTTCTTGTGCCCGGTGGACATGAGCAAAGTGCCGTGCGGCTATGGTGGCGAAGGCTATCGGTTTCGGGAGACACGTGACTGGGTCAAGAAAATATCACCTCTGCTTCAGGTGAAACCTCCTTAGGATATATCCGGTCGGAGTCGGTATCACTGTCGCAGGTGGTGTGCTACACTCCTCCCCCCCCGTTTTCTAGCACTCCGTCTGAACTCTACTCCTAGTGTGAAATGTGTGTGCTGAAGGCCCGGAGTATGCGGGGTGGGTCGTCGGTGTACTGCTTGGAAACGCGAGCAAAAGATGCGCAGTCGTGAAATTGTAGGTCGCCCTTTGTGTGCGTGTGTACTCTTTTACTAGGTGGCCGCTGTGACCGCCAAGGTGGCGCTCAAAGCAACGACAGGACTGGACGTGAACACGTCGGATTTCCTTAGGGACATGAAGGACGGGTTGGTCGATGAGCTGGTCGACCGCACTCTCCACGAGGACGCGCTACTTCGTGTTCTATCGGGTGAGGAGGATCTCGGGGCCGACATGCAAAAGGATACGAGGGCCTCGTATGAAGCGCTGAAGAAGTTCCTGGACAAGGAGCACGTGGACAGGCTTAAGAACGCCAGGGGTGGTCATGGCTACGTAGACTTCAGGGACAAAATGAAGCGTGTACCGGACGGGAGGGGGGGGTGGTGTGGGTTCGAAATGAAAACGTTCAAAGGTGGTTGGACTCACATTCGAAGAGTGCCCCATCGAGGTAGATGCGGGAGTTTTGGAATATTCAGTAGTGTGTCACCCCGAGGTAGATGGTTTTCTTTGTGCTAGTCCGCGCATGTGTGCAGTCGCCCAATCGTAATCAATTTGTTTTTTGGTTGCGGGTTTTGCGATGTACCTCTTGGCCTGAGTTGAAAGCTCACCTCGTCACTCGAATTTTGAGAAGCGGGGCTGTTGACTAGGCGTTGCGAGTCCCCCGGGAGCATGCCGGCAGAGTTTGAAGTGCGAGAAGGACAGAATGATCCATGAAGATTCACCTTTGGTGCTCACGCTCTGGCGAATGTTTGGTCAGGTCGGCGGTGCAAGTTGCAAATTTTGATTACCTGTTGCCTACATTGTTGTTCGCTACATGTTCCATTTCCGTGTTCCACGTCGACGTCCACTGGAGCACTCGAGTCCACCGAATGACTACATTCCAAGAAGACCTCTCGAGCGTTTACATACCGTGGTCATCGGCAAAACGTCCGAGGAGCAGCGGTGTACGGGCATGTTAACTGTTACCAATATTCAATAATACACGAATCACGGATGAAACGTCTCTCAATCAGTACGGCTCTTCGTACACAGGTGACCCAGAAACATCCTCCGCGAGGCAGACGTCGAGGTCGTAAAACACGTCAAACACACCAACTTCCGTGGCTGTGCTCATCGACTTCTTTACCCGAGTCGTCCTACTCGCACAAGGATCCCCGGCAATGTCTCGTGGCGATCATGAGCGGGGTCCCTCCGTCCTGAACCCTTGAAAAACGCTTACTCGCTCAAGTGGAACGTTATCCCGAGGACCGTACGATGGGTGCTAACTCTGAGATGTTCTCCCTGATAATAGACTTGAGCTCGGATTTCGTCGAGATCGAATTGTAAAGATGAACGTGATTATGTGCCATGCACCACCTCTTCTCCTCGGAATCTTGCGGCATCGAGTTTTACTTGCCAAAATCGATCATGATGGGGTCAGTGTTTCCGTCGATCATGATGTTTCCCGAATGCATGTCTCCGTGGAATATCATGTTCTCGTGCATCTTGGAGATGAGCTGCGTAGTCCCGTGTGTGTAGTCTTTCTCCCGAAAGGTCTTGTCGAACAGAGTTTCGTTCAGCCTATCCTTGACGAGGACGTCTTATTCCCGGTCCCCCCAAGTCGTGGAGTACGTCGAGATCCATGCGTTGTACACGTTCGGTGAGATCCTATCGAGCTCGCGTGCAGCTGGATCACAACCTCGAGTGCGACTTCATTCATGGGAACGTCCATGGATCCGTTGCCCGGCGAGAATACGCGTCCGTCGCCAGATGAATGGTTCTGGAATTTCACGGTCATAATCCGAAAAACGACTAAATAATACAAAATAAGATGGAATGCACGTGTCCGTGTGTGCCTTCTCCGATGTGCTCGTGTATGCGTGGCATGATCCGGGGCACGTCATTGACCTTAAGCGTGTATTCGCACGAATCGCCATCTTGTGCCAGTATCGTGTCAATGGTGTCACCTATATCGCTCCTCAACCCCAGGGTCGAAAAACATCTCCCAGTCTCTCAGAAACCGCGGACGGGGTCTCAGAACGCAAGCTTGTACAGATGGACGGATTTCGTGAGTTGTTCCATGTTGTCTATGTAGCATGTGTTCATTCTTCACCATCTCTCCACGACGTCCATGTCGGGCATTCTGCGGTTATTGGGAGGTTTGCGTAATACAGTAGTATGCAGTTTAGCTTAAAAGCCCTTTGGCGGCACTGCACTGTAACAGTTTCGAACCTGCATGAAATAACGCACAGCCGACCCAGGAGCAGTGGCGGGAAAACCAAACTGGAATTATGACTGTCAAATGTCGCTACATCGTCTCATCTCCGCTTGTCTCTGGTGGATCAGGACGTCTTGACCGCCAAGGTCCCTAGGTGCTCGTGACGAGCTCTTGGTGCCTCTCTACCTCTAGTTTGACACTAGACTACAACAGCATATCGAATTCACGTGTGGTGGGTCATGTCCGCCCGTCTTTTGACTTTACCGCGGTGCTCCTGAACGAATCCAATGTGGAAATGCAATCAGTATGCGACACAGGTACACTTGTGAAAATCAGCACACTACTGTAAATGTAACAGTATTTCAGAAATGACCGCAGGTGTACACTGTAGCTACCGGGCATCTCCCATCAGGCAAGGCATTTACAGGAGTACTTGGGCTGCGGCGTAAGCAAGTAGGGGAGATGTTCTACGACAAACGAAAACGGAGTACGATGGAGCCGCACATGGCTTACTCCCCCACTTGTCACCCATCACACCGAACCAACCCACATAAAGTTTTCTCTGCCTCGTCAGACCTCTACGACTGAAGTATGTAGGTTGCAGCGCCTCCGGCAGACGTTGAGGAAACCCCTGTGCGGCACCAACATCGCGACTCCAGTCTATTTCGAAATAGACTGTAATGTATGTGCTCGGAGTACAATAGTCTATCTGTTTTCGATGAACCGGACCACAGCCGATGAACCGGACCCACAGCCTACAGTATGAACATAGATCTCATTTCCAGTAGGTGTCTTTGCTGCTCGCCCCTCCGGCGTTGAAGCACCTACCTGCTTCATTGTCCAGATTGGAATGATCGTCACAGTCCAGGCGAACGACCGTCCGAGTACATGGGCATCCGCATCGCTGGGCACCAGTGAATCTACTGCTGTAAATGACAACGCATGCATTGTCGCCGTTCTGACCTTACACGGCCGCTTCCTCTGTCGGCCCTACTGCATCACGTTCCTTGCGCTCGTTGTGTCAGAAGGTCAGCGGTGTTTGTTCCTCGACGTGTATTGGCGTCTCGCCCTGGCTTGCGCGGTCCAGGGCCTTACGTGTCCCGGCTTGGGCACCGGCACCCGAAGATCGACTACTGTAATGGGTCCCCTGCATAGAATGCACCACGCTCCCAGCACCACGGATGGTATTAGTGCTCAGTGACATCATGCAACGGACACCAACATCGCCGCTAGACAGGTCTTGAGTACGCGCGTTTTTCATTCCGGCTTGAAAGATACGACCTCCGGGGCCTTGTACACCATCAATGTTAAGTTAGGTTCATTGGTTCACTATATCTGGTGAGGGCAGTCTTTCCTGTTGTTGTGAGCCCATACCTACCTGTGCACAGCGTGTTGTGTCATTCGTGTTCCTAGTCGTCCGACCTTGCACGTGGTGAGCAACAGCAGACATGCCCGGGTCGCGGGCTGACTTTCTAGTCTTGGGTTTCTTATTCCTCGTCGACTGGTATGTGCGTCTCGCTCTGTGCTTTATGTTGTCATTCCAAAATCGTACATACGTGTAGTCGCTCCGATGAATATTGGCATTTATTCAGGTAGCATAAAATGAAGAATGTGTTCGCCTTAGTGGTTTCGATGAAGTCGATCCTTTGACAAATTGCCACACTTCGGTGACAAACAAGGTTGGGTCCGCACTCAAGAGTAGGCGCCGCATATATTTTGCTTGAGATCCTACAGTAGCTTCCGTGATGATTGATTGTGGCTGAAACGTGTCTCCCAGTGCATGCTATGCTTGTACTCCTCTCCAATTCTTGATGACCTGGTGGCACTAGCCACCAATTCCCTCTATCCTGGATGCGTCGTATGTTTGGGTACTTGATGCAAGATCCGATGTGGGAATTACGTGTGTAGGGCGTACGCTGCTGGGGGGTCAAGTTCGGGGCCCCTCGAGAGAGAGCACGCAAAATGTGCCGAGTTCATGCATGTTTTTCTGTGTCTTTGTGTGCTGGAAGGAGCACGGTGTGACATCAAGGTATATCATCAACATCGGTCCTGGGTTAACCTACTGTTGTCCTCATCCATATTTAGCCCGCACTACCGTGGCAAGGCGAGGCAGCTTCCGCGGGAAGGCGGGAAGGCAAAAAACATTGCACTTCGCCTGTAGAAATATCTCGAGGAAACTGAAACTCACTCCTCGTCACTCGAATACACTCACCAACAACTTCGTGAACTCCGCCGAATAGGTCAGTCTAGCAAGCGTCGCGATTCGCTCTCGATGTCCTCTTTCACTCTCACTCTCATTTCCCCGTGACCGTGTGTAGGCGAACGTTGACCAACTGCACCCCAGCTTCCGATGCAATCCGCTGATTCGTCTTGAAGGTACGTACCTTCACCTACCACTGTAGAATTTTCACGAGGGGAGTTCCTGCTAGCCCACAATTGCTTCTCTCCAACGTTTTTTCTTTGCCCTCTCTAACCGTAGGTACCAGTTGCAAGTCACATACAGTGAGACCACTCCGCATACTGCCGCTCTCACTTTCACTCCTACTCGGGGCTGAGTTCTTGTCTCCTCACGGTCATATGCCCTGCATGCTGTTGCCCCTTCTCGAAGTTCACTATGCGGTATCCCGCGGGTTCGTCTTGTTTGCTGAAAGATATGTTGATCTCTTGGACATGCGGTCAGATGAGCCTCTTTCTGCCCCTAAACGGCCCACCTGAGTGATTACACTTAGGCTACTCTTTTCTATACGGAGATGGGGTCTCTAATTCGGCCCTCTTGTCCGCTCTCTCCCTACCCTGTTGGCCGTAAGCATTTCCTTATTTTGGATATTTGCGCGCTTCACGTAATTCCGCCGGTAGACTACAACGTGTACATGAGATCAAGCCGGAATGACGAGTGAATTTGTGAGTGAAGTTCACTCACCGTTCACTCCACGTTCATCTTCACTGAAACGAGCGGTCTCTTCGTGTTGGTTTCGAGACGCTCCACGAATGAATGTCGACGCTTCCAAGACAAAGAGCGTTCGCCTATATATTTAACACGTTCATCAAAGTTTGGAGAGTGCATGCCATTATGTCGTTCATGCTGAAATTCTGGCTCGTGTACAGAGACGCATTTATTCAGAGTTGTTGTGCCGAGGTTTGCAATACTTCTACTGTATATGTACATGCACATTGACTATTGATACACGCAGCAGTACACATATATCGAAGGAAAACATCCATTCTGCTAGTGGATTTTTTTTTTCTTTCTTAACTTCAATTAGCGCTCACAGCTCTTGTGCCGTTTACTCCAACCCGTGGTCACACAGAAGACCCCCTCTCTACCCTCTCCTCCTGCGGCATAGTACCTTGCCTTCGATTTTTAATGCGAGAAGAGTTCAGCACTCTCTTCCCTCTGTGTACACACGAACTAGCGCTATCCACTAGGCCAGAAGCGGAAGCGAGAGAAAAACTCACGTTGCAAGAAAAGCTCGCTTACGCCGGGATTCGAACCCCTGACCTGACCTCTAGAAGGTTTCGAGGATAAACTAGACCACCGGGGCTACCGGCAGTGGATAGAGATGCTTCGGAACTCGGGACCGTCTTCACCATCTAGAAAATGTGATTGAAGTTTGGAGGTGATACAGAGCCTGCTGCAGCAATCGCGTTGGAGCTGGATGGCACGAGTTCCGTGGAACTGGCCAAGGCCTCACCAGCGTGATCGCCCAAGGCAACAACGGAAAGACGAGGAGAGCCCGACTCAAGTGCATCACGGTCCCCGGGCTCGGACACCGCGGCTCCCCCGTGTCAGGTCTTGCTCTCTATTTTCTCGACAGAAACCACGATTTTCGATGGGCACAGCTCTAACGGAAGGGGTTAAACCTACCGCAGCAGCTGCTGTCGTACGGGGGCGAATGTACTCCACAACGGTTTTCGGGGCCGCATACGGCTTTGACAGCAGCACAATAGGTGGATGGTACAATGCCACGCACAGTTGGCAGTTGGTTGCACGCGAACTCTCCTCTGTCGCTCACTCATCACCGACCATTATAAGAGCATCGACGCATGAAATTGAGACACGCCCCCATCTGTTGGATGCGATCTACCATGCATGCCACAGAAAATCCGAGGCGACGATCGTTACAGCACGAACAATGCTCCACAGCAGTACATGTAGACATGTACAGTACAATAGTGAGACCGAGGTACGTAAGGACGACGTACGTATATGTACATGCAGGAACTTTTCCCTTTCAACAACGTCACGTATTGTATTTCACACAGCAGTTCCAGCAAGCTGACTCCCTTTCTTCTTAATGCCACTACGCACACATTAGGTAGCGACTTGTTGATCGGGTTGGACGCGATGGGGTATGACTACAACGTACCCTGGTTTGTAGGTTGGACGAGAACACGGGGAAACAGTTGGAAAGTTCATGGAAAGTTTGAGGGAGCTCGCAGATGGCAGTTTAGCGATTACGCCGCCAACTGGGTGTGGTGCTTCCCTCCCTACTTGCACTGACCACACCATACGAAACTTTGACACGCTCCGTCAAGCTGATCCCGGGGGGTGTTGTGGGACTGGGCTGGGGGAGAGAGGTCACCAGAGCTCGGGATTCCGAATCTTTTGAGCGGCTGGCCGGCTGGCCGAGGTGGAAACGATTGCAGGACTGTCGGCTGGATACCCGGTTCCTGTCCGTGAGAACGTGAGAACCCATTTGATTCGTTTTGGGTCTACAAGGTCCCGCTTTTCTGTGTCGCCTTGTTGTTGGTCGAGTTGCACAAAAGCGTTTGGAGCGCGTGTTTACACCTTCCCTGAAAATGCTAGAGTCAGTTGAAATGTATGTTTTCTATTCCAGAACCAACAATGTGTCGGTCGGCCTTGGTCGGCCACACGGGCACGTGCGTAGCCTCGTATAGCGCACTCCCAATCGGCGTTCCCCACCGCTCCTTGCCTCCGTGTCAATTTTCGTTGGTTAGCACTCTAACCGCTTGTACCCCTTACGATGTACACGTCCAGGATGAATCGCGACTGCTGTACCTCTGTCTAGACTATACCCTGTAGATATCGGGCTCAACAATGCATTTTGGGCGCATGTCGGACACAGAGAGTTCGTAGTTTGGGATTGGCGAGAAGGGCATTGCGAGGAAAAAGGACGTTTCTGGATTGTTTTTTTTCGTATTGTACGTCCCATGTGTAGGCTGTGTTCCTGGTAAATTACAGTAAGTGATGGCACTTGTTAGCGGTGCACCAGTGTTAGTCGTGTAATTGTACAGAAGTACACGCAGCACGAAATTGTCGTACATACATGTGAAAGCGCGACGATGCGGACGCAAATGTGTTGCTCGTATGCTATGGCTGTACCAGTAATTCATTACTGCTGTGGCATCGACCGCGCAAACCGGCCAACAAGTCGAAGGAACCTGTGTATACATGCACGTGTGTGGTTGTTGACGGTGCAACTTGTTTCCCAACTTAAGTACACGTGCGTTGCGCCGTGGGAAGTGTAGGGTCTTTCCCGATGAGAGTTTCTCTCTCGCTGGTTAAATAATTCAGGAAAATCGTCTCCTGCGCATGTTTGGCGGGGTGGAGCAGGGCAATGGTCTTGTGTTTTTTGCAACGGATGTTGGAAGATGTGGATAAGAAAGATTTGTTTCACATCTCGACGACAAACAACTATGGGTTCGACGGTAAGCAAGTACCATGGTATGGGTTGTTCTTTGGTTTTTTATTTATGGCTGGGCACACATTTTCGCGCTTGGCTGGCAGGCTATCGGTCATCACCCCCGTATCACCGATCTACGCTTCGCACGGTTCCCTGAGCAATGGCTTCAACGGATCGTGATGCACTCGTTGCCCTGTTTCGTTCCGCCGGTGGGGCTACTTGGAGAAGAAAAGAAAACTGGGACACAGCTGCTGACCTAGAATCATGGTTTGGAGTAATCCTCAACAACCAGGGTCGCGTGGCGGAGCTTAAGCTTGCCGTGAACAACCTCCAAGGTGATATCAGCCACCGGTACGCGCTTTGTCAGAGGTTTGCTTGAGCATCCCCAAGAACTTGTGGACTGAAACCAAAGAGCGCCTCAAGATATGCAGCAGCAACTCTGTGTGTTGTGGAATGCATTGCCCTTGTGCTTTTCTACGGAGTTACCCCTGGGTATGAGATGTTTTCTCTACGTCATTTTCGCTTTCAACGTTGTTATCGCTGAGTTGCAGTCTCCTGAGCGCTCTGAGATACCTGCTCCGGTGCAGCCTCTGTTGGAAAAGTGCGACAGAAGCCGGCGAAATTGTACCTTTCTGTGGCGATTAGTTCTCAAGGGCAACCGCTTGCGTTGTTAAAGACGGGATAACAGCAGCACACGGTTCAGTGACTCAAACTGGTACAAAACAATAAAATGGACTCAGGAACGTACCTCTACACCCACTCACTGTATTCCAATGTTCATTTGGTGGCTCACGGGCGGAAGAATGAGACCTGACTTCTCCAGTCGGGGTT